TTTGTTCCTCTAAATCTTTTTCACAATTTTCTATTATGGCTTTCCTTTGTTTTTTGACAATATACGGTCGCTTTGACGCTGTCACTCGTTTTCTTATAGTCTCGTGACATTCAAATTTTGTCGGAATACAGCCTGGTTTCTTGCGGACTTGCGATACCGCTCCCATCACATGATACTCCATGTAATTTTCCATATCATTTGGTAACTGCAATGTTTATAAAAATCTAACCTCAAACGATATTAAACCTAATAATTTTAAACCTTTTACATAAAGTCAACCAAATAAAAAAAAAATGAAATATATATGTATTCAATGTATAAACTTACGTCAAAGTGGTCTTCACAAATATAAATTGCAGTCTTTTGACTTAAAGCTGTTGGATCTCGCTGTGCAAGGGTCAACCACTTATTACGCATTGTTTTGTTGTGTGGAACGTGAACAAATATTTTATTCGGAGTTTTTGTAGATGAGTTGTTACACTTAAGAACTACACAGCTCTTATACACTTTTGAATTCATATTTATTTTACTAAATAACTGAAATAATAGATTAACCTCTAATTTTTACTGTCGACTTAATATATCGTGACGTAATGACTCTGTCATTGTCACTGTCACTGGAGTCATGACCATAGAGATAATATAATAGAGGGAGCGAACTATTAGTAAGTGGTAACGTACGGCTGTTAAACAGAAAAAGTATAATGTTTTTAGTCTTGCAGCTCTCTCTTCTCTTGGCACTGATTGGCTGATACTGCAGAGGGCATTTAAAATGGCCAATCAGTGACAAGATCAGAGAGAGATGCAAGATCAACACTATCTTCTTTAGCTCTCTACCAAACGTAGACAGAGAATACTAGATGAATCGTCAAGCTGAAAGATTATTACATTCATCTTAATATAAATACACCAGTAATACTTCTATTGAAAAAAAAGAATTAATGTTATCATCACAAAAAAATTTACACACCGAAGAATCCTTCGCATCGATATCCATCCCCAAAGCTTCACATTGAGAGGTACTTGGTTGATTTTTTTCAATCTGTCTCGGTTGGGCTAAAGCCTAAAACAAAAAAGCCAAATAAATCATCGTAACAAAAAACATACATACTTAGGCTTTTGTGATGGCCCTTCATGCGTTAACTGACAGCTAAAACTTGGTCAGTTTCACCACCACCAAAACGCATGCCTGCCTCTTCACCGTCAAAAGGAGTTCCTTTAATATGAGTCCTACTTTCATTGGTACACCTTAAACTTTCAATCTTAAAGTTTACTTACATGAATAAATAATGTGGGTATTGAACTTGGATTTAAGCATGTCCTATATTTTTTCTGAAGAAAACAATTGGTTTCAAAATGTCTTGAACAAATTCTGGAGTGGCGACTTGGATGCCAGTCTCTGCGGCCCGTACATTTATTTCTTAAACATGGTTCATTTGGAAAACTGAAAAAAAAACATGGTGTTAAAAACAGTGATGCTGGTATCCCCAATGGCGTATAATCCGACTATTCAGAAATGACACGATGTTATTACTCGTATATAGATTAGCTCACGTATCACACACTCACTTTGGTCGGTTAATACCGAAAAAGACTGGATTTTTATAACTTAATTTTAATTTTCTCTTGCATAAAAATAACATGAAATATACCTTAGAATAGTAATCGTTTCATTTAATTACTGTTTAATAGCTATAAAAAAAAAACTAAATTCTACTTACCGATGAAACGTTATGTTTGGATCATTTCGTTGACTACGGCTTTTACAGCCAATTACACAGCAATTCACCATCACTGCACACTAAATACTACTTTTTAAAACACCTTTTGGGTTACAAGTAACACGGAATAAGCGTTATTCAGTTTACGGGCCTGTTGGTCTAGTGGTTAGTGACCCTGACTGCTAAGCCGGAGGTCGTGGGTTCGATTCCCACCCAGGACCAATAATTGTGTGATGAGCACGATCATTTGTTCTGTGTCTGGATGTAATTTAGCTATTATATGTATGAACTTAAAAATATATAAGTATGTTTATCAGCAGTCTGGTTACCATAGCACAGGCTCTGCCTAGTTTGGGATCAGACGGCCGTGTGTGAGATGTGTGAGGTATATTATTTATTATTATTATTATTATTAATAATTTTGCCTTGACACCACACGCTTGTTTGCCATCAACGACAATGGTGGCAAACAACAAAAAACCGATACGCAAGCCGAGAAAAAAAAATCATACTACGTCTTGCTTCCTCTTACACATTTGTCGTTTAATCCTTCTCACTCTAGTTATTATTATTAATTTAGTAGCCAGTCTATACCTCTATTCTCTGTCTACGCTACCAAACGTATGCGATAGCGCCACAAAGGAACTACTTAGTAGTTGCTTTGTGGATAGCGCCTTGCTCGCTTCCTCCTTTATAAGCTCTTTGGTCATGACCGACGCAACCACAGAGTACATTGTAATATACTGAAATAGAGGTATATCTCAATCGCTTTTGGAGGAAATTACAAAACAACGCCATCTGTTAGGAGCGAGCAACAACTTTTCTCTTCCTCAACATTTGAAAGGATATATTTATACCTACATATCTATAATATAGGTAATACTTATTGTATACAATATTGTTTATATTATGTACAAATATACGTATGCAATTAGAACTTTGTAAAATAAAACAATGTATAAAAAAAACGTTTATTTTCTTCTTTTCAAGACAACAACGTTTAACAGACATTGCAACACAAAAATAAAGCGTTAAAAATAAGTGTCTCTACCTCAATACTACTCGAAAACAACACACAAGGATAACAAAGATCAGAAGAACCTAGGCTCAACTCACGCATTAATAAATATATCAGAGAATAATTGTTATTAGTTCCAAGCAAGTAAACATTCAACCACCAAAAAAATGCCGGTATGAATGTCATGTTGACGGACAACATTCATAACGACAGCTGTTGCAAATGTTGCTGCATTAACGCTGATGAAAAGTACCAAAACAATGGCATTAATGAAATGATACAGGCACTAAGTTAGGATTTCTTAGAATCGTGTGTATTAAATTTTTTTAAGTTTTCAAAAATTTTAATATGTCTACATTTATCAATTTTAGCATACAAAATAACTACCAACTCAATGTATAAAAAAAATAATGGCAACATTTTATTTCCAAAAGTCATTTTATAATGATTCCAGAAAATAGTGATATACGTTCCGGGATAATAAAAACTAAAACAACTCACTTTATGTTTTATGCGGATTATACCGAAAGTAACGACATCTATAAGTATCGACTGGCGAAGTACACACGTATCATACGCCTAAATGAAGTGTACGTAATGTTGTTAAAATTTTAGAACAAATAAGAAACCATTGTATTTGGTTTCATTATTTTCGTAACATTCCAAGGATTGTCGACTAACCGCCTGGACGCGACGACACCAATGACCGTTTTGCCTAGAATTATAAACTTACAGGTTAAAGGGCAGAAAATTAATACATTTGCCTTAACATATGATATTATTAATAGAATATTTATAATTATACTGAATAATATAAAGTAGTTTTTAAGATACAGTCATCATACCTAATTTTGTTATTGTTATTTTTTTTCTTTTGTTATAAAAGTGAAGTCTTGATTTCAATTTGTTGGATCTCGCCGTCAACCACTAATTCAAATAGTTTTTTTGTTTGGAACGGGAACAAATAATTTGTCAGCGTTTTAAAAGATGTGTTGTCACACCGAGGAACCACGCACACAACTTATACACCTTTGAATTTATATTTATTTTCGTTAAATAGGTAATTTGAGAAATAGATTAGCACCTTAGGTTTAGGTACTGTGCTTATAAATGATACGGTGAATGTGCTGAGTTGTGTTTTTCGTGTTCATCTATTTGAATATATACAGATGTTATCCTTACTAAATCTTACTACTATTTATTTATACTTCCTGTAAATACATTGCATAAGGCGGACTTAATGCCTATGGCATTTTCTTCCAGCCAACCTTTGAGTGGCAGGTGGCAGGTGTATAATTAGAGCAGGTGAAATAAATTATTTTAAATTGTAGTCAGTTGCAAGGTGTTATACTCGTACTACATAGATATACTGGGTATACTATATGTATACCCAGTATATCTATGTAGTAAATGTAATATATGTAATACTAAAAATATAAAAAATAAACATACGTACATACATCTACACATAAATGCCTGCAATGATAAAGACACGAGTGGTTATTCTGATGACTCCGTCAACAAGTCTCCATGGAGCTTGCGTACTCTGATCTTAAAGGTTATTCGGTTGGTGGACGTCTTAATCTCTAGGGAGAGGGCGTTCCAAAGATTTACCGCTTGGACAGTGAAGGAAGAATGTATGATACGGGAGATATGTGAAGGACAAAGAAGGAGGAGATTTTCAGCGGGGCTAAGGCTTCTGTCATGGTTTGAGCTCTATGTGTGAGCGAGCTGCTTTGTGTTTTGCTGCTTCAAAAGAAGTTCTTCTTGCAGCCACAGAAAATAATTTGAACAAATCAGGACTGCTGTTAATTCAAGTAAATGCACCCTACCTATATGTTACTTCCGAAGTAGTAGCAGCCCATCTTTACTGTTGATATATAAGTTGTTTGATGCCATTTTTTTTCGTTTGGTAGATATGGACAAACTTTAATCATATCAGTGAATGTTTTGGGAATTAAAAAAAAAATACTTCAAAAAGCTTTTTAAAAATATTTATCTTAGCACCAGTCTGTAGAAGACAGACTTGAAGAAGGAACGTCACCGAATAATCAATGCTCTGCTTCCCTTCTTAGAAAGCACATTAAGAGCAATTTTGTACGGCAATTGTATGTTATGGAACTCTCACGGGTATTTGTTAACTATGAAGGGATTGAGTAAAAAATTAACCATTACACATTAGGTACACACCAATTTATTCAATAAAATCTTTTAAAAAATTTGACGTATTTGTACCATTGATTAATATACTTGTAGATACTTCAGTCGGGTCGCCTCTCAGCTTGTGTTGTAGATACTGAAGAAAATACCGTACTGTAACAAAGATATCGATAGTAATAGGTAGCCTTTTTAGGTACCAGTTGGGCAGGGGCTGGGCTATTGGATGGAGGACAGAAAACAAAGTTCACAGGTTCTCTTCAGTTACATGATTGCGCGGAAGAAGGGTTATGGGTTACGTTATGGGCATACTCTGTAGCTTGCGCTTGATGGATTTAAGCTTGCGTGGTGTCGTTAGATTCGTCAAAATAATGAGTGACACTGGATATATAAAAAATGTCGGTTGTAAAATTTAAGAATACGCGTCACGCGTTTTTGTTTTTTTTTTCAACAATTAGCACAGTCTCTGCTTAGTTTGGGATCAGACGGTCGTGTGTGAGATGGGTGAAGGTATTATTAATACATTTATTATAGAGGTACAGAAGAATCACCCCGCAAAATTTTATTAATAAATAGCGACTCTTTCTCCTACGCAATAAAGTAGAATTTTGATTTGAGTGCTATTTATTTATAGATATATTCACCTACAAGTTACCACTCTTTCTATGGGCTAACTTTTGGCTTTTCTGACGTCTTTAAGATTATCTTCTTATAAAGAATATTTAATTACCAGTGTGTTGTGTATATTACTCTACTTTTTGACCGACTACAAAAACAGGAAGAGTTATTCCATTCGGCTGTATATATTTTATTTTGCTTGTTGCATTAGAACTTTTTTTTAAAAGGGTTTAAACATAAAAAACAGCTAAATATAGAATCTCCTTTTTTGAAGTCGGTTTAAGAACTAGTTTTAAACTGACTTCAAATAACCGCTATCAATGCACCCTTGGAAGTCACTTACTCAGATATTCGAGGTTCAACACTGGCTGTATCCTCCACAGCATCACCTCCTTCCAATTGTCTGAAAGTAAAATACCATTAAAATAAATGATGATAAATGTATTTCTGTAAGTACTTAAATCTTTTCAGATATTTTTGATAGTCGGACTTTACGGCTAGATTGAGCCGGCATTTCCTAAGACTCACTCTGGGAAGATTCGAATCAAAATAAATCATTTAACATTCTTCATACAATTAAATATACGAAGATAAAGCCATTGGGAAGGAAGGGGAAAGGTCCTTAACAGTATTCAAGTCGTTCATTACTACTGCCAGTACTCACTCATGATCTTCGACGTCAACAGGCTCCTGCTTAACCTCAGTGCGTGTTGTAACCGTTGGTGGTAATGACTGATGTTTTGCACGATCTTTCCTGGGATAGAATAAAATATTTTCGTACCATGAACTTCGATTGATAAATAAAATTTAATATGTGTATGCTTTAACATTTTGTGGTTATTTTGCAATTCGTCTATTTACAGTCGTTTTCTCCAACCAAAGGTTCACATCACATCACATCAACAGCCTATAATAGTTCACTGCTGGACATGGGCCTCTCCTTAGAAAGGAGGTTTTGGCCTACTATCCAAAGGTTGCTGTAAGAAATTGTAAAATGACCACAATCATTTGTTTTGTGTCTGGGTGTAATTTATCTATGATATGTACATATGTGTTTATAAATATGTTAATAAGCAAGGTTACTGTAGTAACGGCTCTGCCTAGTTTGGGATTAGACGACCTTGTGAGAGATGTGTAAAGTTACTCACTATAATGTAAAACTTTTACGAAGTCACACAAAATAAAATAAAAACTTCAAATTATCTACAAACGTAATAGATATTACTCACTGCTTTGATGAAGTTTCTATTTTCAACCAGAATTCATGACTGCCAACACTGTGGTGTTCATCAGAGTCATGTACTTCAACCTTCAGCGTTTCTAATGGGTGTTCCTTTACATCGAATTGGCTTAAAAGAAAAAAAAAAACAGTTTAAGTATCTACGTCCTCAGGTCACATCCATAAAATCCTGATTTCAAACGAAATGGACTGAAATGTGGGTATCGTAATAAACTGTATTCTGCATTGATTAATTTTCACCGTTAGTGATGATTTTTTTTCTTCAAATTTGAATAGGACCAAAACGGAAAGACCTGCTTTCCGGTTTGGTCCTATTCAAATTTCAAATAAAACTTTTTTTGCCAAATCGGCTAGTTTTTTATAACATTAAATGTGAATGATTTGACAATAGCTAGGTATGACGTCACGCCTTAGTAATTCTATCGTTTTGACGATCGATACTGATTAGACCTAATAGTCATATACATTAAAATATATTATACTCCATTGTAACTGTACCCTCGATATTCATGATTTAGAGCTGTTGAAGTCTTATAGGACTGAATTAAAATTTGAGAGATACTTACCTCCCACTGTCTGGGTGCTCACCATCTTTGGCACTTCCACACCTTGACATTTCTTTGATCGGGCTGAACAGAGGGAAAGCAAATTCTATACGCAAATAATAACATTTAACTTGCCTGCGATGAGCTCCGAAACTACTCAGACATTGATAGATGTGGTCAAACTCAATTTATGTAATTGTTCAGTTATCCATGTCATCCTCTACATTATGGTGGTCTGTGGTTATCCGTCCGTGCAGTGATGGATTAAGAATACTGAGTGCCACCACCCCTATTCATTCCGTGGGTATAGCAAGACTCAACTAAGGGAGCAAACTACGCAGGACAACAGCACTGCATAGAGAAGAAAAACTTGAAACAAACCCTATAATAATCCGTCTGGCCAGCGCGTATAGTAGGCCAAAACCTCCTTTCTAAGGAGAGGCCTATGTCCAGCAGTGGGCAGCATTGTCTTTTATACATACCATGAAAATGTTAAAAATACCGTATCACGATGTTTGATTTGTCAACTCCGAAAGTACTCAGCCGATTTTAATGAAATTTTGTGCAATTTTAGCAAACGTGTAGGGTACTACGCATTATATTTACATTGAGAAGACAATTCAGATTGTTTTAATTGTTGTAAGAGTAAAGGAGAGCAAGGTTCTCACTCTCATATTCTCCAGACAAGAGAGTAACTTACCTTACACACTCATGCTTAATATCGTGGCTCAATTTGGCGCGTTTGCTTGGAACAGGGTCAAGCGTGGACTTCTCTGACTGCTTGCTGTCTTGTATAACCGCGGTGACGGTCTGTTCACTGACACCAGTGGCTGCAGCAGTACGTTTCAAGATATTGGCCAGGGGACTAAAATCACAACTGCCTCCGGTGTAACTCTTCAAGTTTTCGTACTCAGTTTGGAGATAGTGGTACACACTGGCGATGATATCCTTCGCCTGGTCGAAAGAAGAGTTCTATCAATATTAAAATTGGAATAGAGTTGCTGTTTATATATATTTATTTGTATTTTTTTTATCCACAAACATCTTACAAATGTTCATCTGATCACAAACTAGGCAGAGCCTGTACTATAATAACCAGACTGCCAATATACAAACTTAAATATTTCTAAATACATACATACAACAGATAAAATACATCCAGTCACAGAACAAATGATCGTGATCACTACACAATTATTTATCCAGGGTGGGAATCGAACCCACGATCAACGGCCGCAGAGGCAGAGCCTGTACTATGGTAACCAGACTGCCGATAAACATACTTATGTATTTGGTTTGACATCAGACGGCCATGTGTGAGATGTGTCAAGTTATTATTATTATTACATGTATTATTACCTCGGGTAAGGATGCTTCTATTTTACTGGGTGTGTCTTTAGGCAGTGTCGTGGAACTCCCTGAGGCCTGGATAACACAAACATAAGTTCTTTTTGTATAAATACGATAAGTATTTTTTGACGTGACAACGTCTTATAATTCGATGGAGCCCGCTGCACGCACGAAAAAACACGACGCATTCGGCGTTACCTCGCTCTGAGGCGTTCCATTTAAGGCTTGAAGTGCAAGCGAGAGCGCGGAACGAGCGACAAAGAGGCACAATCGGCCTCCGCATTTTGCAGCGTTCGACATCTGTCTCTCTCCTACTTGAGTCAGCGATGCGACCGCGTGGACAGCTGCTATACAATAATACATTTACATGTTTTCGTCAAGTATGAAGCGTAATTAAAATTTTCATTTGAAAAATGCAACCTTTCCATCAGTATTTTCTTATGACGTTGTCACGTTAACCATCGTCAGTAAACCGACTTTACAGACAACCGATTTTTTTTATACCTATTTTCCTCTCGTTTTTTTGCAATCTGTTGGAGGGATTTTGTACAAGAGACGGGAAGTGTAGACAAGTTTAGACACTTTTTGACCCGCACAACTAATCTGTGGAACGGGTTATCGTCTGCGGTATTTCCGGACCGATACGACCTTCAAATCTTCAAGAAAAGAGCGTACTCCTTCCTAAAAGGCCGCAAACGCGTTTGTGACTCCTGAGTTGCAGACGTTCATGGGCGGGGATAGACAATTTCCATCAGGTGACCCGTCTACTGCGTCTGCCCCCTCTAACATAAAATAAAAGGGTTTAACAAGAATTCGGGGAAGCGCCATTTGACTTGAACAATGAGCGCGCGCGTCAGTAAAATTTCTGTCACATGGGTGATGGGATGACAGATGTATTGAAACGCGAGTCTGGCGCTAGCGTAATTATAATCACTCACTCCCAGTCATAGTGACTTTATAGACGAGTCACAGGTGGGATGAATTTTAGAATCATATGATTAATCACATGTGATTGTGATTGTGATAGTAGGCCAAAACCTCCTTTCTAAGGAGAGGCCTATGTCCAGCAGTGGACTAGTATAGGCTGTTGATGTGATGTTGATGTGATTGTGATTTTATTCCATGCCTAGCTCGCGGCTCGCTAGCTCATCTCCTCGTGTCCCACTCACCCCGCGCGCTTGCTTAGTCTAGTCCTTTCCGTTGGACGACTGAACAAAAGAGTTTCTTCAATGATACTGTGACTTAAGGATGAAATTACCTCGTATTGGTAGCACACTTCACACAACCATAACAGTTTTATGCACTTGTTTTAGTAACTGCGTAGTATCATAGATGTCTAAATACATCTATGTCGTAGTCTACTTTAGTGCTTGACTACAGGGAACCAAGTTATTAAAGTCCAAAGTCATAAATGGCTGCCTGGGCGGTGCAGTGGTGGCGTATGCGACTGCTGTGCTGAGGTATAGGGTTTGATTCTCGGATCGGACCAAATGTTTGTATGATCTGCAAATATTTGTTTCGGAGTTTGGGTGTATAATATGTATGTATTTACAAAAAAGTCAGTCTAGTTTTCAGAGTACAAGCTCTGCTTAGTTTGAAACTAGATGGCGTTGTGTGTAAAAAAAAGAGGTAGGTACACGTGTTTAATCGTCCACAAATATTTGAAGAAATTCGAATATCAAACTAAGTTAGTTTGAAGTTTGATGCTGTGGCAGCGCAGTACGCAAAGCTGTTTCCTTAGAGAATAGCATTGTAGGCCTAGTGCGAGTTTTTTCACACTAGCTGACCCGCGCAACTTCGTCTGCGTCTCTCAATAGTAATAAATTTTCTCCGTTTTTGAAACATTCTTCATTGGTGCTCCGCTCCTATTGGTCTTAGCGTGATGATATATAGCCTATAGCCTTCCTCGATAAATGGGCTATCTAACACTGAAAGAATTTTTCAAATCGAACCAGTAGTTCCTGAGATTACACAAACAAACAAACAAACAAACAAACTCTTCAGCTTTATAATATTAGTATAGATTACTCGATCGTCACGGTGACCGCGTTCTGTGAACTCATAATTTGATACTGTTTGAGTGGGTTTGAGTAAACGTAGCCAGTTCATTCATTGTTGGCGTGCGTGACATGTTTTATTGCCAGCACACAAAGATTACCCCAAACTGTGGGGACTTTATTTTCATCTAAAATATATTTTTTTTTTTAATGTAGGTACCTAAATAAATTTTAAATTAGGTAAGGATTTTTATTTCTCAAGCTGAATAGGAGAAAGGAAAGGCCTATGTCCAGCAGTGGACTGCGATAGGCTGATGATGATGGTTTGCGTGTAAATTGAGTGTGTGCTTTCGTCACTCTCATAATGCGTTGACACGAGACTTCGATACGATTGGTGAGAGACACCGACGCTGGACCGACTTGATCGACTCAGGGTTAACACTAATCACCGAGGTAGTTTATAATCAAATAGTATTATATCAATCATAATATACAGAAGGTTAGAGAAAAGCATGGTTTAATTTTAAGTATGTTATATGTGCAACCGACAAGTTTTGTTTTTTGAACTTTTTTTTTGAAAAAATAGTCTGCCTATTATTGATGCATGTCAACCCTCACTCATGAGAAATATCAGCTCTATGCATCAATTTTAACGCTCATTTGTCATCTTCAAAATAAGATTTAGGTATTAAAAATAAATTTAAAGGGCAGTTTCACTTACGGACACTTTTAAGGTATTTTCTTCATTATCCGAAACGTCACTTACATCAGACTGCACTGACGATATAAACAAAGCCTGGAAATAATATGTATAAACATTTTACTTAGCCAAATACCATTATAATAAACATATGTGTCGCATACAGCGACACATATGTTGACTTTCTATTCGTCAATGTATATCTTTGAGGTCAAAATTTAAAAACTTGCCTTACTTGGCACCGTTCCTTTTTTTAATCTTAGGCGTCCGTTCTCTTTACTAAAATATTTGTCTTTTTTATGAAAATGGTCAGAGCAAACCACAGAATTTTTTGTTGGTTTCCAAAATTCGTCACCACGGCTTTTTTGTATTATGTCTATCCATCGGTTTCGTAATATTGGTTCAGTTGGTAATCTGAAAAAATAACAAAAGTTGCAGATGTTTTTGGGCGACGGCAGTCACTTTTGCCTAGTTTATCATAAAAAAACTCAATAAAAGAATAAAGCCGCCATTTTGAAAACAAGATGAGTTTGCAATTATATCACACTAAATGCGAAAGTTTTTTGTTCGATTGTACATTTATTTACGTTTGCAAAGAAAAACTCAAGAGTATATCTTTCTCAATGACAAACATTAATAACCTAAATGACAAAATAATCACAGGTGTCCAGAGTTATCACTTGGGATAACGTAAATAAAAAAATTACGTAAATAATATTTTTTTCATAAAACTATATCCTGTTAGTTTATGAAGTATCAATATCATTTTTTTTTATATGGGAGTTAAGAATTTATTAGCTGACAACACTTACGTCAAAAACAAAATGGCGAATACGAATCAATCGGAATTCACAAAATATTACAAAGGCCTATTTTGCTAAAAATAATATGAAATAATGTTACTTACCGATGAAAAGTGACTTTTCTTGGTGCCTTAGAACGTCCTTTATAACTTCTGCACACTTTAATCACACAAACTGTCATTGTAAAGAAGATAATTTCGCTATGTCGCGAATAGCCGTGTTTGACAGCACAATGACACTGAGCGCGGGAAAGGGAACTAGTAGCCAACGGTTGGACACTATTTTTTTTACGTGTTAACAACTTGACAATTTAGCTTCACATGATATGTATTAAATATTATATCAATTATGGTTTGGAAATGTTTTGTTAGTAAATTTTTATTTAAATTATTTAATCTAAATAGCTTCTGTTTTACATAATTGAAACGTTGACTATTAAACAGTGCCTAATTAGGACTTCGTGTGGTGAATACTCAGCTGTTAAATGCTTAGGGCTACCATACGTCCCGGCACACATGGACATGTCCTGGTTTGAAGCGTTATGTCCCGTCCCGGTGTCTCGGTCAATAAGGTATCTCGGCACGCACGTGTCTATAATCAGCGGGAGATATTAGGGCCCGACTATGTTTGCGTGTTCAATTTCACTTTTCCAAATATGAATGGGCAAAGAGCATTCATATTTTTCTGAAGTTATTTAACTTTTTTAAGGATCTCTGTTAATTAAAGGTTTTTTTTTTCATCTTTAATTTTTTCCCACGCTTTATTCTGTTTCAGTAAATATGTACCAAAAATAAAAATTAAAAGTTGCTCACCGACCATGTACCAAGTCTAAAAGTGTGATTAAAAAAATAAATAGTTAGTACGACTAACTATTATTATTTATACTTGCAAGCTTCGCAGAACAACAATGTTAAGCAATTCATTCTTCTTTCCAATTCCCCCAAATTCTGGGCACAGGGGACCTTCAGTTCGCCAACGGACTTGTGTTTAAGTATTCATCGGCGGTGATAGTCACTTACCATCAGGAGATATGTTTGCTCGTTGGCCTCTATTCTAACCAATAGTGTCATAATTTCATCATCATGGTTGTTTTCTGGTAGTGTTCCCAGATAACTAACATCATTGCCACGTTGATTGGCCATACTATTTCTTCTGGCCCACACCTTCTGGTCACAAGTGTCCATTAGCAGCTTAGCTGGTGACATATAAATGGAACGAGTATTCGGCCCTCATGACGCTAGGCTCTGGATCCTAAATATAATTACTGATTTAAGTTATTGTATTTTGCGCCGTTGATCTTTCTCCGAATGAAGCATGTTTTAAATATTACTTCATACTCAACAAGCTACAGCTAGCGGCTTCGCTCGCGTAATTGTTAGTATCTTTAAAAATTATGGACTTCCATACAACCGGTTCTCCCTTAATTTACCCTTTTACGGGTGAAATTGCCAAAAATTCATTTTTAGTGGGGGCTTACAACATTAAAAGCATCAGCTGTCAAAATGACAATTTTATTGTCCCAGCGCGCAGCGGTCAGCGGTTTAGGCTTTGCGTTAATGAATCAGTGAGGTAGGGCAAGTAATGTTATATGAATAAAAATATATTGGTGTCACATTTTTTTTTGTCTCATAATCACACTACAGAGCCATTTCTAGTAATAAAAGTTCGGTTAAAATCCAGTTCGATCAACTCTCGATCTCGCAACTGTCATAAAAAATATTTTCGTAATCCGAAGCCCATGAACGCCTGCAACTCAGGAGTGACAAACGCGTTGCCGGCCTTTTAGGAAGGAGTACACATTATAGTCCCCAGAGTAAACTGAATAATATGAAAATTACACTCAAAGTTGAATGTTTAATACTTTACTACGAAAATACCTTTTGTGAGATCGCGAACTCACAGGGCTGTGGTGACACCTATAGTGTGTGATTCTTCCAAAGGCATGCGTCGTGAGTCCTGTAGATCTCATAACATTTTTACGATTCGTCGATTTACATTTTTTACTAATGGTAAGAGATTGCTATTTTTACTAATAGTACTGTGATCCCTAGATCGCGAGTTGATTGGAATTGATTTTTACCGACCTTATTACGAGGTTTGGTCTTCTGAGTGCAAACTTAGTTTTTAACAGAGTTAAACAAAAACAGTTCCTCAATTCGGATGTGTTTTGTTTTTATGTTAATTACCTCAGAACTCCCGTCATTTATGATCTGATTTGGGTAATTCTTTTGAAGTGAAAACTTCTTTGAGCGAATTTTGGTAGGGGAAAAACTTACGGGTCGCGTCACTGATGACCGCGACATGCTCCTGCCGTATAGCGCCAGCCAAGCGACGCGGCGAGGCGCAGTTACATTGTTTTAAATTTTCACTTCTGTCGACAGTTCTTATTATTGCCTGTTTTTTTTTAATTCAATATACTCATAGTTAGGTCCCAGGTTAGGTTAGGCATCCATCTCCCTCGTTGCCTGTATTGCTGTTTGCATGTAAGCATGTCTGTTCGGCACGAATCTTGGAACTTTGGAACTTTGGAATCTTGAATCTTGGCTCAAACTTTGTGCACAGACACAATTATATGGTACTATAGAGCTATTCTGATGATGGAGCTGGAAGACGACCATGGGAACTTCTTAACTATAATAGACAAGATAAACCAAGTTTGTTTTGATGAGTATTTTGGTGCTACATGATATCCAGGGTCTATTTTCTTTTTTTTAGAGCATTTAAATAGAAGCTTGTTAAAAAAATATTACAATTAATTTATTAAGGTTATTGGACAATGTATGTGAAGTCAGAATATGGAAAATAAAGTGTGCGTTACCCCAGCAAAATAATGTCGAAAATGGTCATTTAAACGTTATAGATAATTAGTTGCTCCCCTTCTGTAATTGTTAGGCACATTTTTAAATTTGTTTCACTTAAACTTTTTTAGTTATTTCAAAAAAACATTTCCTGCTGGAGTAACGTTTGAAACGTTACCGCAGCCAGACATTTTCTTTTTTAATTGTAATATTGAAATAAATTTTAGCTAAATAATTAGTTATCTGGACTAGGTAAATGTTACAACTTATTTGGTATTTGTATTTTCTTCGGCTGCGAAGTTATTCGAAATCCTGCTGGGGTAACGTTTGTGGGTTTGCTGGATCTCTGAAACGGGTAAGCGGATTGTAACCATCTTTTGTACATAACTTCTTAAGGATTAGTTTTAATTTGTTCGACAATAAAATAACAAAAATAATGGACCGTTTAAAAATTATTTAGGTAAGTATGAAAACACTTCAATACGTCCTAACACTTTAAATAAGACCTCTAAAGACTTACTTGAAACGTTATTCTATTGCTTGTAACTACCTTCAAATGTATACGAATTTTCGTAAGAATACTGTAAGTGACTAAAAAGTTATGATGAAATGTAGCTCTCCACGTTCACGATCACAATGTGTGCGGCCTTTTTTGGCCACCGATAAACCCGTGTGTGGATATATAAACTGAATGTTATGCCAATAATTAGTTGTTTAGTTCAGTTGTCTAACTGTAAAATTTCAGCGTAGTACATATAATAATTTACGAGATAATTAAATAAAAGTCATTAGAAGGTGCAAGACCGTGGTAACCCGACCATGTTTAGGTGGTTACAAAAAAGCGATCACCCAGTACATTGCGCTGTCTTTTAAAATGTTTAGTGTAATACACCTTACGTTTTCGGTACAGTTGCGTACAGTGTTAAATACATTCAATATTTATTCATTATTATTACCTATTATTTATTTTGTTTTTTTCTCTAATTGATCCTAAGCACTAGTTTCTTTACTTAAAATTTAGTTAGTCTTTTTTACTACCGGAGCTACAATCAACAGAAAATCTACACTGGTTCGCTGAAATTATAAATATGTAGATACATGTATGAACGATTCACCTGACTGCAATAAAACGAAAGTTTAAACCAATAAGAAATCGTTTCATTTCTTTGTTTTTTTTTTTAAAGAAATAACACTAAAGTAATTGTATTTTATTTTAGGGTGTATAGAGCTTAGACTTAAATGCATCAAAATATTTAAAGCAACAAGTCATCTACAATAAGTTAAAATAGACCGAATAGTAGAAGAATACAGTTGTAAATTAGAATGCATCAACATTGCATCGCCCAACAGTCGTATACCTCGTAAGAGTAGGTAATATTGTTCTGTGGTCTATACCTAGAACCGAGAATTATCTATACCTATGTACCTACCGTTAAGCGTTGAGCCCGGGACTGTTGATTTCTGTTAAAAACGAACAGTTGTTGAATGATATTTTGATATAATAACGGTAATTTAATTTATCGAGTGAAAGTGATACATTTTTATAGATAAAATTATTGGTCAGATAATATTTGTCAATCAAGAATCGCTGATAATACATCCTTCTCTAGAACGAGGGAGGGGAGGGGCGAAGGGATACTTCATTGTTTGCAATTTGCATCTAGTGCACTAAACTTGACCCTTTTCAAATTCAAATTATATATTTGCTATAAATGGGGTGGTACATATTGTGGTATTACAGGTTCAATTTAGTGCGAACAGGCCCATTTAGCCATGAAGATAGCATGCAAATTTAACATTATTATTATTAATTTAACATTATTATTATTAATTTAACATTATTATTATTAATTTAACATTACTATTATTAATTTAACATTATTATTATTAATTTAACATTATTATTATTAATTTAACATTATTATTATTATTATTAATTTAACATTACAATTATTCATTTAACATTATTATTATTAATTTAACATTATTATTATTAATTTAACATTACAATTATTAATTTAACATTATTATTATTAATTTAACATTATTATTCTTATTATATATTATTATTATTATTATCATCATTATTCATCAGTGTTTGTGTATTGATTATAATTTCACTTTTATCAATTATACCTACTACTCTCCATTTAAAAATTCTTTGACCGAATAAAATGTATTTGTAATTAACCAATCTTTCAGGGCTGGAATGAACTTATTTAATGTTAGTTCTTTAAATCGTTCTGGGATTTTATTGAAGATTTTAATGCACATCGCGTAACAATTTTTTTGAATTCTTTTCGACCTAGGTACCATGTTCAACACAAGTCTATTTGGATTTCTAATGTTGCTCCTTAGGCAGATAATATACGTGTTGTAAAGTACGTGTGCGCTTCCGCTTTCTATTTTTGTAAATATTTATCGTATTCTTGAGAGTTCTTCAATATGTGTGTACCTAATTACTAATAATAGGCATTAATGCTAATTCGATTCAATTTAAGTAATTGTCAATTCTTGTCTTAGGATATTAATTACTAATGCTAATATTGAAATTTCGTTCAGGGTGAACAAATTAAAAACGATCATAACTTTTAGGTAGGTATATCACTTATTACCTACTAATTTTACATAAATAATTTATTTTATTATAATTTAACTCACCGCGATTTTGTAATCAAATATTTTATTTTCTCCAACATTATTACAGAAATAATGCAATACAGAGTTTGTTCGCGATATGCTAGCCTAAGTCGATTCATCACTTAAAAAAATCCCCATCTATTCACAAAATACCTATTTACAATACGTTACACTCTTCAAAACTTATCATTTCATTTCATATTTCTTAAATTACCTATACCTACCCTAAAATTAAACTTCAATTAACAAATACTACGCAGGTACCAATTCTATGAACAACTATAAACAATTCACCTAAACATTACGAGAAAACAAAAGCATTCAAAACAATAACTAATCTCCCGGCTGATTACTAATTATGCAATAAACAATCCTCAATAAAAAATATTTAAAAAACATGTAGTTTTTTGTAACACTTATGTACATATCCGTAGTAAACTTGCAAGTAATATCCTACATATTTTAAAAGCCAGCACAATGTACTGGGTGATCGCTTTTTTGTAACCACCTAAACATGGTCGGGTTACCACGGTCTTGCACCTTCTAATGACTTTTATTTAATTATCTCGTAAATTATTATATGTACTACGCTGAAATTTTACAGTTAGACAACTGAACTAAACAACTAATTATTGGCATAACATTCAGTTTATATATCCACACACGGGTTTATCGGTGGCCAAAAAAGGCCGCACACATTGTGATCGTGAACGTGGAGAGCTACATTTCATCATAACTTTTTAGTCACTTACAGTATTCTTACGAAAATTCGTATACATTTGAAGGTAGTTACAAGCAATAGAATAAAGTTTCAAGTAAGTCTTTAGAGGTCTTATTTAAAGTGTTAGGACGTATTGAAGTGTTTTCATACTTACCTAAATAATTTTTAAACGGTCCATTATTTTTGTTATTTTATTGTCGAACAAATTAAAACTAATCCTTAAGAAGTTATGTACAAAAGATGGTTACAATCCGCTTACCCGTTTCAGAGATCCAGCAAACCCACAAACGTTACCCCAGCAGGATTTCGAATAACTTCGCAGCCGAAGAAAATACAAATACCAAATAAGTTGTAACATTTACCTAGTCCAGATAACTAATTATTTAGCTAAAATTTATTTCAATATTACAATTAAAAAAGAAAATGTCTGGCTGCGGTAACGTTTCAAACGTTACTCCAGCAGGAAATGTTTTTTTGAAATAACTAAAAAAGTTTAAGTGAAACAAATTTAAAAATGTGCTTAACAATTACAGAAGGGGAGCAACTAATTATCTATAAAGTTTAAATGACCATTTTCGACATTATTTTGCTGGGGTAACGCACACGAAAATAAAACATTACAAGTATTGTATGATAATTATTATTAACGTAACTTATTTTTTCTTAAATTAATTAATCTTACAAGAATGACAAGACTTTTTCTATGTACACTAGGTCCGGTACGAAGCGCTGATCGGCCATGTTGGGTTGCAAACACGCCGATATACTGAAATTAATATTTAAATTAAAATGTAATTAAATTACAAATAAATTAATAACAAATAAACGTGGTCATCACACAATTAGGTGGGCCAGTCGACTGTTTGGCCAGTAGGATGGCCGCTCATTTCTTCATAGTCGTAAAATAGTGTCGGATCTGACATTTATTGAACTCTACAGGGCAGCCATTTCAAATAATCATGTTAGTTTTTTTGACATAACCTTTTTAATTCTGAATCTGTAATTTTAAAAATTGGCATACAAGTGAAAAAAATGGGGTTCGTTTTAAAATGCAATAAAAATAATTACAAGAAAAATCACATGCTTTATTTAACTTTGAGCTCCTAACAAAAATGACTGAATAATTTAAATTCTAAAATACATATAATTTTTTCTTGAATGTAGTAATAACATTTAGACAATGTAGTATCCAATATGGTAAAAACTAAATTTAGATTTTTTTCAAAACTGACATTATTCTACGATCATGAGGATTTGTTGTGTGTCTGTATTTATTTATTTAGTAATATATAAGTATGTTTATCAGCAGTCTGGTTACCACAGTAAATTTTTAGTTTTGTGCTTTTCTTCCTAATGTAAATATTAACGGTCGAGTTGGTTCGTTGATTATGACTACTGAGCCAAAGGTGATGAGTTCGATTTCCACCCAAGACACTTTTTTTTATAATAACACTTTCCACACACGACCGTCTGGTCCCAAACTAGGCAGAGCCTGTACTATAGTAACAAGACCAATGATATATTTATTTATTTAACTTTATGCACTTTTGTACATCGGCGGACTTAATGCCTGGGGCGTTCTCTTCCTGTCAACCTTTGGGTGGTGTAGAAATCTTGTAAGATAGGTGCACAGATATTCAGTCATAATATCAAGTGTTCATTGAAATATATACGGTTCACTACATGCATAAACATAAATAATATACACTACACTTAAATAATATAATATCCAAACTCAAATATTTCTAAACACATATATATTGTAGATAAATTGCATCCAGGCACAGAACAAATGATCATGCTCATCACACAATTATTTGGGTGGGAATCGAACCCACGACCTCCGACTTAGCAGGGTCACTAAAAACTATACCAACAGGTCCGTTAATGTATTAAGTATATAGGGACACATAGACAAGGAGGATTTATTTAAAACCGATAGAAACTTACTCTTATTCGGTGGGTTCTGTCTTCAAGGGGTCAGGTAGTGCGTCAGGAGGTACATGAGGCACAGCGGACGTAGATCTGTACAAGAGGGTTGAGAGCGTTATTTTTACAATCATCATCCTTTAATAGTCCACTGCTGGACATAGGCCTCTCCTTAGAAAGGAGGTTTTGGCCTACTATGCCACGCTGGCACGACGGGTTGGTATAGGGTTTGTGTCAGGTTTGCCTTCTCTTTCCAGTGCTGTTGTCCTGCGTAGTTTGCTCCCTTAGTCGGCTCTTACGACACCCACGGGATGAATATGGGTAGTGATACTCCATGGCGAGCGTTATTTTTATCAAGTAGTAGAAAATCACAAATTCTCTATCGACGGTGGTCAGGAAAAGCAAATGAAACGCTATTTGACCAATTATTCAGCAGAGCTGTTTAAAGTTAAAAATTAAAAAACATTTATTTTATTTATTAATGGATTTTCTTATGAAATTTTGTCGAGCACATCGAGTTTTTTATGTTTTATATTTTGTATTTAATTTTAATGGATAAAGGTCAACAGTTTAAGAAAAAAGTGACGTTTCATGTAAATAACGACATTTTGAGTAAGCAAGGACAAAATAATTCTTTCACCAAATCTCCATAAAAAATCGACAGGAAAGTTATTTTAAATTAGGAAAGCAAAATTGTGCCTGCGCCGGGCCCCCTAGGCAGTAGCCTACTTTGCCTAACAGTTAAGACCTAAAAAAATATTCACACGTTTGTTTGCGTGAGTTTACGTATAAGTACGCACACAGGCACGCATACATGCACACGTTAACACACAATACTCACTGCCAGTATTCAGTATCGCTGGGCTCTTGCTTTATCTCAACATGTTCCGAAGGTGGCTCGTGGTGAACAGAGGATCTCCTCCTGGAAGTAAAAAAAAAATTAAATATCATTCCAAGACAATTCCAAACAACTTTAATCTTTAGAAATAATTCTTGGATAGGGGTGGTTGTAGATTGTGGACAGAAGTATGATAGATTAACTTCACATCAACAGCCTTTAATAGTCCACTGTTGGACATAGGCCTCTCTTTAGAAAGGAGGTTTTGGCCTACTATACCACGCTGGCCAGACGGGTTTGTGTCAAGTTTTCCTTCTTTTTGCAGTGCTGGTGTCCTGCATAGTTCGCTCCTTTAGTCGGCTCTTACGACACCCACGGGATGAATTGGGGTAGTGACATTTCGTATTCTTAATCCGTCACTACACGAACAGATTAACTTAATTTGACAAAACAGATTGTTGCTATTGTGTCGATCGATCAATTACAATCAATTTTTAAAAGAATTTTATGAAATAAAGATGTTTTGAGTTTGAGTTTTGAATAAACTCTCAGAGACTTGTATCCGAAAAGTGAATTTTGTTTTATAAGATCAATACAGTTAATGCTGTCTCGACTTGGGTGTTACCACGGCAAATAATTGTTGAAGAAGAACCTCTTGGGCATTTTTAAATAACAAACAAAAGAATGTATTTTATGGGAGAAAACCATGAAACTCGTGACACTATTGCCGTTATAGAAACCTCTGTTTAAGTGAAAACTTCTTTAAGCGCGTTATGCAATTTTGACCATGGGAAAAAACAATTGATCTCGCGACACTGTTACCATTACCGACACCTCTGTTTTCACTTCTGTCGTCACTCCCGGTGTGTCACCGTTTCTTTTTTAATTACCTCACAGAGACTCGAATCCGAAAGGGGATATTTTTTTCTTTATTAAGGGTAAAAAAACTCTGAAGTTTTATTAAATTTATCATCAACAGCCTTTACTAGTCTACTGCTGGACATAGGCCTCTTCTTAGAAAGGGGGTTTTGGCCTACGATACCACGCTGGCCAGACGGGTTGTTATAGGGTTGGTGTCAAGTTTTCCTTCTTATTTGCAGTGCTGTTTTCTGAGTACTTTGCTTCTTTAGTCGGCTCTTACTACAACTATGGGATGAATAGGGGTGATGACACTGTGTATCATGTATTATTAATCTGTCACCACACGGACATTGAATTAACACAGTTAAAAAAAAGGATAACTTTAAAAAGAAATAATAAATAAGGCACAATATTTTTTTACATAAGTCGCCATTTTTTTTCATGCGATTGCAATTGCAACATTTTTCACTGAATTTCGGCTTCTATTGGTCTTATTGTGATGTTGTATCATATAGCCTTCCTCGATAAACGGGCTGTCCAATACTAAAATAAGTTTCGAACCAGGGGATGTCTGGAAGCAGAGGAAACGGCCGACCACGTAGTCCTGGAATGCGAGGGAGTGGCCGCACAACGGGCAAGTATCATTCCTGAGACGAGATCGCTCCTAGAAGCCTGTGAACGCCCCAGGAGGCTTCTGCGCTTCTGGAAGGAGCTTGGTTGGCTCACCTAGCTAACCAAATCTTGACGCATAAAGGACCACTCTCGAGTCTAAATGCGGAAACCGAAGCCCACAACCAATACCAATAATACGAACCAGTAGTTTCTGGGATATGCTCATTGAACCAAATAAACTCTTCAGCCTTATAATAATAATATAGATTCCCTGATGATCACCAATTATCGCTGGAGAAGAAATTATAGACCAAATTTTTACCTGGCCCCCCGACTATCTCTATCTGAATTTAGTAGACGCTGTCTTCTTTCCGCTTCACGCTTCTTCAGTTTTTCTCTATTCTGCTCCCTGTATCTTCTTTGACGTTCTCTTTTCCTTTGGAGAGCATTCTTTTCTTTAATTTGCTTATAAATGGTCGATGTTTCTGTTCCTTCTAAACCAGATGAACTTTGAGAATTACCATCTGTTATTTCTTTATTAATTAACTCTATTCTATTTATGTTTGAAGATGCGGATGATTCTGCAATGCTTTGTAGACGTCGTTTACGATTTCTTCTCTCCGCTTGGTTCCTTTTTAGTTTTTCTCTGTTCTTCTCTCTGTATCGTTGTTGACGTTCTTTACTTTTACTATTCTTTCTAAAAATGATATAAAAGTGTTAATGAAGGAGAAATAAATTATAGTATGTATTGATATTGTCAAAAACATAAAAGTCTTACGTAACGTTAATCGTATGTGTGATGTTGAACTGATCTTGGCTATGTCCAGTTTCAATAATAATATTTGGTGACCATTCTGATGACTGTTGGGTGCTGAAATATTTATTAAATATAAGTGATTCGTATATATAGAATAAATATACATATACAGGTGTCCATGAAGGCAGCGATATCTGCAAATTGGACCGGTCATAACTATACGGATAAGTTTTTTTTATTAAATTCTTTTTAAACTTGAATACTAAAGACAAGTACAATAAGCGTATAAAGCTATTATCCAATATTCATGGACACTGTATATTTTAAGCAATTGTGTTAGAGCGTGTATAAGAATGAAATTGTAATATTAAACTTTCAATATGCATGTTATTTGAAAGAAACGTGGCGACACGTCGCAACACCACTTTACATGTTACATACTATCACATAGCGTGGCGACACGTCGCCACGCCAATAGCCGGCCCGACTCTAAGATGTTTCACATCAAAAATGCACACTTTAATTATAAAAATATAATGAACTTACTTTTGGATCGAATTACTTGATAGTGCCATAGTGTAACTTTGCTTTTTTTTGCAAGAGGCTGCTCACTTTCGCATTCCAAGTTAACACATCAGAAGGACCAGTGTGAGCCTATTTCACATCTATTAGATTGGTGAAGAGTTCAATGCGGGCTAATTGCAATGCCAAACGCGGCCACCGTGACGATCAAGTAGATGTGAAATAAACCCACACTAGGGACCCCAGACATAATATTTTGAAACACCAGTAACGCGTAAACAACACTATTTACGCTAAGTATACGAGCTTAGTGCGACGAGAGAGATAAGGGGATTACCGAGTCGAGTGGGGTCGCAGTCAATTGCGCATGGCGACGCGTCGCCACACCGCATTAAATGTTATAAATACTATATATCAACACAAATAAAAAATATAGCGTGGCGAGGCATACCGTAGCGACGCGTCGCCACGCCAACAGCCTATCTGAAACTCCGCAAAATGTGTCACATCCAAAAAAAACGAGTATTCTTTAGACCACACGACTGAAGTAAAACTTCTTTAGCCCCATCTATATGTATGTATGTTTATATGTATAATATATACATGTATACACATGAAAATATATTAATTTTCTACAAATATTTAAATGTATTATGGGGTTTCATTGATAAATTAATGTTTATATCTAAATCTTGATCACTTTGCTGCTTCAACAGTATTTTCTTTGCTCTAAGTAAGAAAATGCAAATGAGAATTTTACGAGCCTTTAATGGCATAAGTTTTATAAATAAATTAATATTTACAATTTTTTTCTCCGCCGGTATTCTCGCATACGTTGAGCTGCAGTTTTCGCCTGTTTTTTTGATGATTCACTAACGCCTCTTTTTCTCTCTCTCCATCGCCGTGTTGCCTCTGCAGCCCTTAATCTTTTTTCTATTTTCCTTATTTCAGAGGGTCCAGGGACTTGGTTGTCTTCCGATGAACCATCACTATTTTCAATTATTGCATCTGCTTCCTGTTGTTGCTTCCTTAGTTGTTTAAGCAGTGCTTTTCGTGCTCTGAATTCTCGACCACGTTCTGCAGAAGTTTTTGGCGCTTTATTCAACCTATAATTTGATTTTAGTTTGGTAAATTTGGTAAATTATTCATGGTCATGAATGATTATAAAAATAAAATGAAAATTAATTTACCTAACTCCAACAATTTGTCTCGGTTCTTGTTCATGATCTTTAATGGTCACTTTGATTATTGTCATGTTCAATCAAGATATCACCAATAATTCTGAAAACTTCTTTACGCACGCTTGACTTGGGGATTAAGCTGGTGAATGCGTGACGAGAGCGTTACTAAAAGTGTGATCGGCGAGGCGAACGGAAGTTGAGAGGGAGATATAAGTTAGTGAAGATAGAAAGAGAGAGAGGTGCGAGCACACGTTTTTTTTCTCCCTTTCTCTCATAGCTAGTTACGTTTCATATATCTAAGACACAGTGCAGGCCTATTGTCTGTATTACACTATACTCGTATGAGCAAGAGAGAGCAGTGCGCGCGCACATTTTCTTTACACATATAAACATATATATAGATGGATATAAAGAAGTTTTACTTCAGTCGTTTGGTCTAAAGCACACTCGTTATTTTAAGGAAAACTTTTTTACGCGCGCTTGACTTGGGGAGTAAGCTGGTGAATGCGTGACGAGAGCGTTACGAAAAGTGTATTCAAGCGAGGCGAGTGGAAGTTGAGCGGGAGATATAAGTTACGTTTCGTATATTACTGTAGGGGCAAGAGAGAGAGGTGCGGGCACACATTTTCTCTCTCTGCGTCAAGCGTGCGTAAAGAAGTTTTACTTCTAAAATAAGTCGAATTTATTTTTAAAGTTTATTACTTACTCGCAAGTTGTGGCTTCAATTTCCAACCTCCTTTTCCTTAAAGCATTTCTGTGGTCCTCGTCTTCTTCTTCCTCAAATTCCATCTTCAATCTTTCTAATTCCTCACTCCCTTGTTCATTTTGGCTGAAAGTAACGTTTCTTTAGAAGATAAGAAAGCTGTTTGAGGATAAGAAACTGAACAACTCTGATCTTTATTGTACCCAGCTTCTTTTGGGACGAGAAGGGATAAGTAAAGAAGTGTAGAGGATATAGAATGGGCAGTTGCTTTCCTCTGCATACTCTTTCAATTCAATTCCCTTTCTCTATTGATATTACACTCGCCCGACACAAAACACACAACACACACACATAAACACACAAACAGTTACAGTCACTCATGCCAGCACACGAAGACACACAATACTCACTGCCAGTATTCAGTATCGCTGGGCTCTTGCTTTATCTCAACATGTTCCGAAGGTGGCTCGTATTGAACAGCGGAGCTCGTCCTGGAAGTAACAAATTATTTATTTTACATATTAAGGAACACCAACAAAAGATGTACACAATAAAACCACTTCATAAAAAAAGCAGTTTATGGCTATAGTGCACTTCTTTAATTATAGGAGGCCATAGCATGCACTAAAATATTAGGAATTTACATTTAGCTTAGGACTACAATATTATTAAATATATGATAAAATCGTTGAACACTTATACGTGAAGTTAAAGTGTGAAGTTTTTTTTGAATTTTGAAGTATTTATGAGATATAACATGATTTCAAATTATTATTGAATTATAACTTGATTAATATTGAGCTGATGTGAAATTAATTCGCACTAGGACCCCTGAGGGTCTAGTCCTCAATCGTCACGGTGACCGCGTTCGGCGTTTTGCGATTGGTGAAGAGTTCAGTGCGGGCCAATCGCAACTTCGAACGCGGTCGCCGTAGGAGAGCGAGTTGATGTGAAATAAACTCACGTTGTACCCTCAGCTTGAAAGCGACGAGTTGTACGTGATTGTAATATCCTAATCCTTCTAATTTCTTTTTGCTCGGCACGTTGCTGTGCAATCCGATTAGATCGAAAATAAGCTTGCTTTTTAGCGTTTCGAGTTTTTCGACCCAAATTGCTGCGCCTGCGTCTTCTTGGCGGCATCGGTCTAAATGTAAACACACTTCACAAATAAACAAACTATTGATTTTCGATTGAAACGATAATTTAAAAACGATCAAGAAAGGGTTATAGGGTTTGTTTCAAGTTTTCCTTCTCTTTGCAGTGCTCTGGTAATGCAGAGTTTGCTCCCTTAGTCGGCTGTTACGACACCCACGGGATGAATAGGGGTGATGACATTCCGTATTCTTAATCCGTCACCACACGAATACCATTTTTAAGGCCAAAACCTCCTTTCTAAGGAGACGCCTACGTCCAGCAGTGGACTGTTATAGGCTGTTGATGATGATGATTAATTTCTTAGATAACAGACGAACCTTTTTTTCATCGAACTTCATTTTAGGCAGGCTTAGGTAGGTTAATATCTATATGACCTTATCAACTTGATACCATACCATACCATAGATAATCGAAACGGGCCTATGTTTTGTTTTGATTGGCGTCAAATGTTTGACACCTAGGGACTGATGTTTTAAGTTCCCGTGGTTTATATGGAAAAAGTGTTGTTTTTACTATTTTTACGTTTTTCTCAACATAAAAACCTTCCTTGCGCCTTAACGAACATTTAAATAAAAAATTTGCCGAATTAGTCGAGCCATCTTCGAGTATTACGCTTGGCAACATATGTGGCGATTCATTTTTATTTATATAGATAGATTGTTATTGCTCCCTTTGGGTGACCGATGTCTCTCTGGTTTACAGTGTATTATCTACAGTGACAGATGTCAAACATTTAAAAGACACAATGCCTACCTAGTCCATTAACTCCGACCTACGATTCGAAAAAATCTATTGGCACGCATTAAACCGCACTTATTGTAGATAATTAATTATTTATTGATTATTTGTACTAAACCTAATAAATCCGGCGTATTTTAGACCAAACATTCTACATTTACATCGATATTAAGCAATCCTTTAGTTTTCTAACAGATGGCATTAGTAGTAACGATCCAGTTGATAAAATATTACACGTCTTATTGCTTTCATAATTTTCGACAGATAGCTTTAGTAATAATCAAATTTATTAATAAAAATTGTTGTATCTTCTGTTTTTTTTAAATGTGTAAAAATAATATTTTTATGACAGATCACACATCTAGAGAAAATCAATTCATGAAATTACTACGTCAAAGCCCAAACCTGAAAATGTGATAGTTTCTCAGTAAAGTGTACCACACAAATACATAATTGTGGGATGGTGTGATAAAAGAACCTCAAAACATAAAGAATAAAATAAATAGTGAAAATAAAATTCAAATATAAGCACAAACGAAATAAACCTAATGACAGAGACAACCTAATATATATATGAAAATGTAATATATGTTCATAAAACAAAGATAGCTTCTTAAAAAGAAGTGATGTACATGCGTTAAATACCAGAAATAGAAATAAACTTGTTGTACCTGCCTCTAGGCTCCAAAAGATAAACAAGTCATTTCCAGGTCAATGTATCCGATTCTATAATAAAATCTCAAATAGTACACAAAATTATAGTATAAACAAACAACAAAATGTAAACTATGTCAGAAAGCCTATTACTCAATTGTGGATTACATAGAAAACAAGAATGCTTGGGACTAGTTAATTAATTTAGCACGGGCTATTTCGTAGTGTGTGATGTGAGCTAGTGTGTCTTTTATTTTATTTTTATTTTTTTATGTTTTACTTCGCTTTCTTGTTATTCCATCTTTTTTCTATTTCTTGTTTTCTCTTCATTGCCTTTTTACCTTATAGTCCTTAAAACTTACATACTGGCCCACATCGAGACAATGTTGTGTATATTTAATGATGCCATTGTATGTATCTTTTAATAAAAAAATCGTGGCAGTGAGTTTGCTTGCCTTTTCTTCTCACAAGGCCTCTTAGAAACGGGTGGTTGAAACACATTCATTTATTAGATTTTCGATACGTATATGTTTACTTTGCTTAAAATTTGACAAAACAGATTGTTGCTATTGTGTGAGTTGATCTTTGACTTTAGACTCTCCACATGAGACGATTTCAAACATATTTTTTTTATGAAATAAACATATTTTGTGTTTGAGTTTTAATGAAATATCAAGTACAATATCGTAAAGGCATTTAGACTCGAGCTCGATACTTCCAAAGGATTATAAGCATATATCATTTAGGTATGCAGGGCCGTCCTTAACCTATATTTGTTTCTTTCTGAAGATAGTTATTTGTCTATTCTTTCCAATAGATAATTCCCAATGTCCGTTACTATAATATTTTATTCTAGCTTTTCGATTTATCTTTAAATACTAAGGGTTTCGCCCAAGTTTCTCTTACCAGCTCTGTATCCTTTGCGATGGACATTAAAGCTTCTTTAATGTATTTATGATCTTCACGCAAGAAGCTTAGTGCATTTGTGCTGGCTGACCATCTGGTTTGTGAAAGACTTTTAACAACTTATTTGGATATTTTTTTTGACACGCCGAGCATAGCCCTTGCCATAGCACGTTGAACGACTTTGAACTTGTGGACCAGCCTTACCGTAAGTGTCCACGTTTCGGCTCCGTATGTCATGATGGGTAGGACGCATTCATTAAAGACTTTCGTCTTAAGGCACTCAATACTCAATATATTTATTGCATTCCACAATGTTTACTTAGATGGTAACTTAAATATAAGATCAGATCATCATGGACCCTGTCGGGCACAGCAATAGATGAGAGAGGGAGAGATAATACAAACTAACAATAATAATTATACTTCAGTTTTTTACATACATGCTTAATTTATTGATTGCTCAGATATTCATTGATTTATAATAGCATTTTTGTAGTAGTAATTGTTTTAATTTATTTATATATTCAGGGTTACAAACAAAGTCGTGCTAGATCCTACTAGAAAATAACTACGTTTCATCAGCTATCTAACGAGGTATAATAATCTAAGGTTTTATTCAAATGCATTGAAAAAACTTTAGTTTCATAGGCGACAGTGGAGAAGAAAATTTATACTTAGCGTCAATTCGTGGTCTTCCCATGTCTGTATTTCGTCTCAAAACAGAGCCAGTTTCTCGAAGTCTTCGATAAACTCTGTCAAAAACGGCCACATCCGGCACTCGACGACCAGGGTAGCGAGTTATGTATTCGTTGCGAGCTTGCGCAGACACACAATCGCAGTATCCGTAACAAATAAGCATATCAGCATATTCCTCAGGTGTGTAGGACGTCATCTTCAACACTTCCGTATCACAGGTACAAATCAGAGTCCGGTTAACAAGCACAGTAGTCACAAATCAGAAGAAATAGTCCAGAATCACAGCCAAGTCGAGAAAAAGAGCAAAACGATATCACATCTACTATGTACGAAGCACAAAAGCAGACTGACAACTAGTGACAACCAAACAATGCCCCCTGTTGTATTCCCAGCCCTAACCGGTCTCTACACATTTTTTCTTTCATTCGCACCTACATAAATCGTCACTTGTCTCGCTCGCTTGGTGCGTCTTAACTTGAAGGACAATAGGCGCGGGACCGTTAGAACTGTTACCTGGAGCGTCCCAACTACTTTTTTTCTACGAAATGTAATACAAACCCTAGATTGTTATACCTCTTTAGATAGCTGATGAAACGTAGATATTTTAAAAAACATCTGCCGAACAATTACCATAATATTGTTTTTAGATATCCGTTAGAGAAAAATAATTTTCTAATATTTTTTTTTATTTCTTTACTTTCACTTGTCTACTACGATCTATTCAATTAACTTATGAACTATTTTAATGACTGACGTCCTAAAGCATCTTATTACACATGTAAAAATGCAAAAATAATAATAATAAGATACACAAAATAAACAAAAATAAATGTAGTAGCCTAAAAATCAGCAAATTTCAATAAAAAAATTAAAAGACGAAATTATCTCGAAAAGGGTTAAGTTTAGGGTAGGGTGTTTCATAGTGAAATATGTCAGAAATGATGGGTACTCCACGCCCTTAATGGATCTAGCACGACTTTTCTTGTAACCCTGTATATTTAATATGGTTTCATTTCTAATTTCTTCGGGTAATTTATTGTAAATTTTGATAGACATTACTTGAGTGCTATTTGAATGAATCTGGAGTCGGGATGAGGGTAGGCAAAGTCAAAGTCAAAGTCAAACTTTCTTTATTTCATAAAATTTTCAAAATTGTTTGAAATCGTCTTCCATGTAGACTCTAAAGTCATAGATCAACACACACAAAAGCAACAATCTCTGTTTTGTCAAATAGTAACCAAATAAATTTAACAAAATCAAACCCATACAAAATCTATGATATGCCTGTGCCGATCTACAACCGCCCGTTTCCAAGGGGTTGAGCCTTATGAGAAGAAAGGGC